GCAGTAAGTAATGTTCTGCCCCATCTCAACCTCAGTTTCCTCATCTGTCAAATGGGAATACTGCCACCTAACACACAGGGCTGTCTTCAGGACAAAATGGGTTATCGAATGACATTGTACACTTGTACCTATTTGACAAATGTGAGGCATGAGGGTGAGACTCCCGAAGATCAGGGCACACCTCTGAGGGCACTTCAGATGCCCCACAGCCCACAGAGTCTCGGGATGTCTCTCTCAGCCGTTCCTGCCACAATCAAAGCCTGTCCTGTCAAAACACGACCCCATCCAGAGAAGCAATCTCCTGTGTGTTTGGTGGGCCACCTGGCCACCGGGCGCTGCCTGCTGGGCCACAAACGTCAACAACAGCTCCTTCCTGGTGGAAGAAGGAACACGGAGCCGGCTTGTTCTCCACGAGCACAGTGCTGACAGGTGACGAGGAACATTTTAAGGTAGGACACGTCTTCCTGAACTGTTGACAGCTGTCTACATAAGGTGCCCATTATGTGCAGGCCCCAAGGCCAGTGAGCCTGAGAGGCCAAGCTAAAATTAGTGTCAGATGTGCACCCGCCGGAGACACTGAACATCCGAAGGTCAGACGCCTCCGAGCAGCCGCCCGGGCAGGAGTGCGGCAGATGGGCACCAAACCGCTGTGGCAGCTGCAGCCTCTGGTTCCTCCCGGGCACAGAAACAGACGGCCCTGTGCAGCAGCCTGGCTCAATAGCCCAGCTTGAGTTAAAAAATAGAATGTGAGTATAATTCCAAAAACTTTATTTTAAAAAAATCTGTGTATGTGCATAGAAAAAAAAAAGTGGAAGAGGAATTCATGAAATAGCCTCAGTCATGGTTGTGGAATAGTAGGTGAACTGTCTTTCCTCTACTTTCCAAAATTTTCTAAATACATATGTATTACTTGTATAATCAGAAGAAAACACAGGAAGATGCTATAAGTTATATATTCCTATCAAATGTATAAAATGATTAAACTGTGTATGCTCACGACATGTGGTATATGGGTGTGAATATATTTATACAGCTGGTTGGTGTTAAAGATCAGCATTCTCCAACCCTGCCTTGCGTGGAGGAGACGGAGGCCCCAGAAGCAAAGCAGGAAGCAGAGAGACAGATTTTCACTGAGGCTGGTGTTGCACTGGAGTTTCCCAAGCCTTGCCCCATTTAATTCTGTAGTTGGTTTATTCCCACTTGATGAAGATGAAAACTGAGGTTTAGAGAAGTGAACTGATTCACTCAAAGATGACCAGCTAGGAAGCCATAGAGCCAAACCCCAATCCTAGCTTTCCACCCACAGCCCACTGAGCTTAAAGGCAGGAAGGGCCTTTGAAAAGAGAACAGAACAAAACAACAACAAAAACACCCTGCTCCTTGAAGTCTCAAACATTCACCAAGCAAACCCCTTAAGGGAGGGGGTTTGAATTCTTTCCTGAGCCCCTCAGGCGCACACCTTCCTCAGCCCTGGCCGGCTCACGGTCATCTTCCCAGAGCTGCCCATGGCAGCCTCCGAGAGAACGGGTAACAAATCATAACTCGGGAGCACAAAGGGCACAGCAAATCCTAAGGTGGGACTGGCTGGCAGATGCCAGGCCTTTGGGACAGGGCGCGGCGCGAGGGAGTTGGCTGGAGAGGCTGCTATCTAAACTCAGCCTTCCAGTGCTTCTGGGGAAGTGGTAGTCCCAGAGCAACACCAGGGGCCCTGACCCGAGGCCCTTGCTCCAGCTCCCCCCTCTGCACAAGCGCCATCTCTACCCTCGTAGACTGCACCGAGCCGCCCAGGGCCCGGTTCCTCCAGGCATTGGTGCGTTCTTACTGGTGAACACATTGTAACTGAGGACCCACAAGGTGCTGGAGCAAAACGGACACAGTATCAACCCTGTAGGTGCCTCTAGTGCTCAAAGAAAGGCTCCCCAGGGTCATTCAAGTATAGACTCTGGGCTCAGACTGTCTAGGCTCACCCTGGCCAAGCCACTTCCCAGCGCTGTGTGTTTGGGCCAGTCACAGTCTCTCTGTGCATCAGTTGTCATCTGTAGGAGAGGATGGAAACGGCACCTGCCTCACAGACAAGTGTGGGTGGAGTGTACGTCTGTATGAAGCTCCTTGGGAACAGTGCCTGGCATGTAGTAAGTGCTCAATAAACCTCGGTCGCTATAAATATTCTCATCATTACTCTGTGGCTGAGATTCCCTCCTTAGGGTGCCCACCCTGCTTCTGTCCCCTAACTGCCACCTCCTCTATAGTCCCACAGCACTTTGAACACCCCTCCAGAGAACACTGATGGGCATGCAGTACAGGTGTCTGAGGCCCCATTCCCTCCTTCTCTCTACCTGGGTAGGGACCTAGTTTAGTCATCTCTATTCCAGCACCCAGTACAAATAATATCACCTGGATCACGTCACCATTTGCAGGTAGCGTGTGCCCTCAGCTCCAATCAAGAAAAGTCTTAGAGGCATTAGAGGCTGCAGATCTGGCCTTACCATGGAGCTCATCTATGTGGCCCATGAACTGTGGGGCCTGTCCCTGGGTGTGACCTTTCTGATGAGGATCAAGTTGATGAGGGGCTGGGTGCTAAGCTTCCATGAATGCTCCCCTGTGACACGGAGTCCCATTGGGCAGGACATGGAAAAGACTACCGACACCCCAACATACCATGCCGTGCCATGCCTTTCTCTACGAGGGCCCCCTGCCCTCCCCCTGCTGACCTGAGAACTCCCATGGATCCTTCTGGTGCCAGTGCTCATGACCTCGCTCCTACAATGCTTCTCCTAGCCACAGCCCCCACTGAATGTGGCTCCCTCTCTCCTGGGCTCTGGTTTCTGCCATGGGCCTGTGGGGCTATTCCTGTGTCTGTGTGTCCCTTCTGGAGAAGGGGCCATCTTGCTCTTTTTTAGGCCCCCAGTGACCACCAATGCCAGGATAGGAGGGTGTCAGGAAAGCTCTGCTGAGTGTACTTTTCAAAGGAAAGTCAAGCCCGTTGGCCTGACCTCCTGTTAGGGCACGCGTGTTGACTGCACATGCCACTTTCTGAACACAAAACTCACAGATGGCTCGAGGTCAGCACTGCCCATCAGCTGCCAGTCACTCCATCACAGGGCAGAGTTGGCAGGGGAGCCCCGAAAGTAAGTGTTGACTGCCTGGTGCACACCGTGCTGGCCTCTTACTGGAGCTCTTGCGTTGGACTCTGGCACCACCGCAAAAGCTGAGTATTTTATATGGACAGGCCCTGCTGAGGCTCTGATGGTCCCACTGCTCCTCAAAGGAAGAGTGGGGCAGGGTTGCAGCAGGCTCTCTGGCCCCAGAACCTACTCTTTCTATACTCCTGGAGATGAGGTGTGAAAGTGTTCTGAGTTCTACCAAGAGAGGAAACTGTCAGCTATTCTCCACCACGCAGAAACCACGCTAGTAAGTGCTCAACAAACCTCAGTTGCTATAAATATTCTCATCATTATCCTCTGGCACAGATTCCCTCCTTATGGTGCCCACCCTGCTTCCGTCCTCTGGCTGCCACCTCCTCTACAGTCCCCCACAGCACTTTGAACACCACAACCTTGCTATAATAAAAAAGGTTTCAGGGGCCTTGGGGACAGCATTGAATGCTTACAGGATTGCTGCCCAGGAGGGGGCAGGCTGCTGTCCTTCAGGGGCAGGAGAGGGGGACAGTGGGTGGGTGTGGGAAGGGCAGAAGAGAAGCAGTCCAGTGGCGGGAGTGGCAGCCCGACACAGGGCGGGAACCCCGGGGACCTGAAAGGATGCAGAGGGATGCCTGAGCCAGTGAGAGCCGAGGCCACAGATGCTTCGGCATGCGGTGTCCTGCCCCGGGCCCCTGTGAGGTTCTGTAGGTTCTGACATGTGAGCCTCCTCTCATCTCAGCCTCCCCACCACCCTCCTCCCCACCCTCCCACACCCCGCTAAAGCCCTCTCTCAGCCATAGGGCTGACTGTCTCCCTTCCCTCCTTGTGAAGGACCTAGCCCGAGCTCCTGGCTGACCCCAAAATCCTGCCGCTCTCTCAGCCTCACTCCCACCCTCCTCCTCTTGGGCCCCTGCGTCCCAGCGACTCCACTGCTCCGCTTACTGTCCCTTTGGCTCAGAACACTCTTCATTCATTTTTCACCTGATGAACTTCTCATCCGTCAGAGCCAAGTTCAAGTGTCACCTTCAAATAGTCTTCCTTGAACTACCTCGCAACCAAACCCCCACAGAATAGAACCCTCCTGCCTTCACAGGTTTTGCTGTTCTGTGGCTATTTGCACATGGATCTCCTCTGCTGGAGCGGAAGCTTCTTGAGGACAACGCCATGATTTGTTCATCTCTGTGCCTCAGTGCCCAGCACAGAGGATAGAGCACAACACCCAATAAATGATGTCCAGATGACCAAGCCACGAGAGGGCAGGTGTCGGGCTGCTGATTGCGTCTGAGTTTGACTTCAAGCAGCATTAACTGGGAGGAATACAGGTCCCTCCCCAAAATGCACGCATAGACCCACAAGGTGAACACACAGCCCACTCCAGGGTTTCTGTGGTTGTAAAGTCCACAGAGCAGTCAAACAGAGACTGAATCCTAAGGATGTGGTACACAGCTGCAGCGCCAGCCCCACTTCCCTCCTTGCAGCCCACGGCCTCAGCTTGAGCCCTACTGGGTTCACCGAGTCCCACTCCCACACTTTGCAGACAAGGAAACAGAGACCCAGAAAGGAGGTGCTTGCTTGAGATTTTCCTGAGCAATAAAGGCAGACCTGGGGTCAGAAGCATTTCCCTTGGCTCTCAGCCTAGGACTCTCCTATTGCCATTTGCAGAAATGCCAGCTGCAGGATTCAGGGTATTTGGGTGGCTTTTTCCTGAAGTCTCAGTAGACTGTGGGGCTCCATTCTCCTGCTCGAGGCTAAGGTCACCCCGTCTACCTCCTGGCCTCAAAACACAGCCTAAGTGGCCTTTGGGCTGTGCTGAAATTGCCCTGTGTCCTGAGGTATGGCAGGGGATTGGGGAGCACTCACCTGCCAAAAGCCAGCCGTGGTCTCATGGTCGAGATGTGTCAGAGATTTCTAGAGCTTGGAGAACTGTGTTGGAGGGAGGCCTGTGGGAAGTAGAGAAAGTGAGAATATTATGCCACTGCCATCTGTCAACTTTCATCTGAGTTTGAAAAATGCATCCAAAAATGGTGAGCACAGCCTTGCTGAAAGCAAAGCTCCAGCCACCACCCCTTCCCCAACATGGTTATGACAAGGTCGAGAGCAGGGATGTAACCTGGGATGTAACCACAGCCTCAAAACCCCAGCGCAGAGCTAAAAGTCACAAGTTGTCTGTCCCTGGGAACCCCGCAGGCATGTTGGTCCTGTGCTCAGGCCTGAGGCTGGAGGAACTCCCACTTTCAAACATTCCTCGGGGAAAGCACCCTTTGTGGGTTCCCTAAGCACTGTTCATTGTAATTCACTCATTCTTGCTTTCATTATTCATTCATTAAGGCAAGCGTTCAACAGCCATTTGGGAAAGTTGTTAGATGCTGGCATCAGGTCCTCATGGAGATGAAGTCCCTGAGAGTGACAGCCTAGATCCAGTAAGAGAGGCATGGGTAGACCCAGGACAAATGCCACAGGCTGGTGGGTCGCCCCCCTTCTCCAAGTGACCTCTGTGCCAGGTGCTGTGCAAAGCACCTTGGTTAAGCCATGGAGCATGGCAGAATGTTCCTACCATTTTCAGTTCAAGGACCTCTCTGTATGAAATTATTTCTCCAAACTCCTCCTGATGGTAACTCTATACCTATTATCTTCTCGTTGAGAGAATAAGCAGTACAAAAGTTACAATGAACTAATGCTTTATAATTAACTTGTCTTTTAGTAATTATAACACAACTACATATATTTAAATTATGGTTGCATGTATACTCATTTGAGACATGTTATTTATGTCTTCTGGGCTTAAGGCTTTGAGTCCTTGGGGATCCATTCCTTCAATATTCATTCAACAGACATTTATGAAGCATCTCTGAGATGCCCAGCCCTCTGGTCCAAAGGTTAGGGATCCTGGTTCAGGGAAGAGTCGCAGCTCTGCAGTGAGGTACACTTAAGCTTAAGCCCAGGCCACACTGGATGTGTGCCCTTAGGGAGGCCATCTGTTCTAAGAGTAAGATGGAGATGTAATCCTGACATCGGAAGGTTGTTATGAGGATTAAATGAGATAGTAGAAAGCACCCAGGTAAGGGCCTGGCACAAAGCAGAAGCTCAACAAATGGGCAGCTGAGGATTATCACCACTACCATCATCATCACCATCATCCCTATCAACATCAATATCATTACTGTCAATAACAGCAGCAGCAGCATCACCGTCTTGCTTCCCGTCTGTTACTGAACCTTGAGAAGCCTGCCCTTGCCCCTGTGCTAGGGTACACAGTAGTTTCTACTTTATAATAGAGTTATTGTATCCACATTTTCTTTCTTTGGTTCACGCCCAGCTCTGTAATTTCAGAGTTGTGTGAACTTGGGTAAGTTATTTAACCTCTCTGAATTTGTTTCCCCATATGTAAAACAGGAAGTGTATTTTTAGTAATTCATTGAATTGTAATGACTAAATAAATTGATGTACATAAAACCTCAGTACAACATCTGTCATGTGGTAAATGCTCAGATACTGCAGGTTATTATTGTTTGCAATATTGTTATTATTATTACCATTATTATTATTTTTTTTATTATTTGAGACAGAGTTTTGCTCTTGTTACCCAGACTGGAGTGCAATGGCGCGATCTTGGCTTACCGCAACCTCCACCTCCTGGGTTCAAGCAATTCTCCTCCCTCAGCCTCGCGAGTAGCTGGGACTACAGGTGCATGCCACCATGCCCAGCTAATTTTTGTATTTTTAGTAGAGACGGGGTTTCACCTTGTTGACCAGGATGGTCTTGATCTCTTGACTTCATGATCCACTTGCCTCAGCCTCCGAAAGTGCTGGGATTACAGGCGTGAGCCACCGCGCCCGGCTATTACCATTATTTTTAATACGATTTCTCCTCCTGGCCTATGAGCTCTTAAGGGGAGAGTCCATTTAAAATTCGTCTTTGTGTCCCAGCAGAGTCTAGCACAAGGCCGGTCTCCCAGCAGACATTAATAAATGATTGCTGAAACAGTCTTGGAGGGTCACACAAACCAAGTACAAAATAATTCAAGGGGCATGGTCAAGGGTAAAGAGCCTTGTTAGGACCCTGAAAAACCCCAACAGATGTCCTGAAGGGAGCTCTTTGTTCCCCAAGGAGCCAAGCTGCAGGACTGCTAGGACCACTCATTCATTCATTTATTCATCACACTGGCACCCAATTTTCACTTTGGTTGAATAACAAACCCTTGCCCATTGCTTCTTTCTTATCGTGAACTCTTGTTTCCATCTGCCACCTCATTTAGTCTCCATGAAAATTCTGGGAAAAAGATAGAATAAGCACATTACTGACAGTCCATCCTCTAAATAAATGGAGGCCCAGAGAGGTGACAAGGCTTGATAAAGGACACACAGCCATCAAGGCCACAGTGGAAAATGGACTAAGTTTCTGCTCATGATCTTGACCCCTTCCTGCTGGCCTTGTCAATGTCAAGCACTTTACAAATCCAGGATCATTCATTCTTGATTTTCATTGTCCAGTTTGCTTCTCAGCAAATAAAACTGAAATAAATAGTTTTGGTGTCATTTTAGCATGCCTGCTGAAAAACAAAGACTCTAAGTTCCATGAGGGCAGAGACTATGAGAGCCCTATCAGTGTGGGGGCAGTTAAATGTATGAACTCTGATCCCAGAATGCAAACGTCCAAATCCTGATTCTGATCCTTAATAGCTGTGGGACCTTCAGCAAATTACGTAACCTCTCTGTGGTTCAATTCCTTCAGCTATAAAGAAAGACCAATAATAGCTATCTATAGGGTTGTTGTGAGGATTAAGTGATCTAATCCATGTACAATGCCTAGAACAGTACCTAGTGCATAGCGAGGGTTAGTCGTAATTATTATTTGTGATGTATCTCCTGCACCTAGCGTACGACCCAACACATTAAAAAAAAACCCTAATAAAAATGTATTGGATTGTTGAACGGATAAAATACTTTCTGTAAAGAAGTGAATAGCTATGCTTTAAGTATTAATGAGCAAGGCAAAAGAACAGATGAAGCTCTGGCCCCAAAGAAGCTGGGGTCCTCCAGTTCCTTGCTCACAGCCAGACACAGGCGCGAGGAGATTGGTCTTCCCAGGATTCAAAGGCCTGTCCACTGACTGGCAGTAAATGTGACTCATGGTTAGGCACACAGGTTTTAGAGTCAGACACTTAAATTTGAGTCCTCACTCTTGCTCTGTCACTCGCTAGTTGTATACTTACCTCCTGTATTTTCCTCAGTATCCTCATCCGTAAACTGGGAATATTCACACCTATCCTGAAGGTAAATGTCATATGGAGGAGGTGAAGCTTCCTGAACCTGGCCCCAGTCATAGTAACACTGAGTTACGGGATCAGCAGCAGCTCATCCTGATGGTGCCCATCCTACAGGCCACCTCATTCTGCTACGCATTGCTTCCACCACTCTCTCCCTCACATGGGCTTTGGGGGCCTTTATCAAGGATGGACTCATTTGCATAGTGCAGGCTCCACTCTCTAGGCCAAAAGGCTGCTACAAAAAGGCAAATTCGCTATTTGTCTACAGCACGAACTGGGCTCTGTGGAGGCGAGACAGCTGCTTAGGAAATGGGTCCCTGGGAAAGGTGGTCTCCAGAAAATCAGCTTAGAGAGTTCCTTGCAAACGCCAGTGCCAGCAACTAGCAGCCTGTGTGCAGCTGCCTCTGAGTCAGTCCCAGTCCCCGTGGCAGCTACAGGCCCTTCCTTTACTCTGTTTCCACCAGTAAAACCCCAAGGCTGGCAGCCTTTACTGCTTATGAGAAGGAGAGAACATCCATTGAGCCAGAAGCTTTAATTCGTTGCCTCATTTAGACTTCACAATGAGCCTGCAGTGGGCACTTGAATCTTGCCACATACCAGCCATGAGATTCTGTCAGCTGGCCATGTCTGTTTCCTTATCTGTGAGCACCTGTCAATATCCTTGTCATTAGACCCATTTTGCAGAAAAGGAAGCTGAACCATAGAGACGGAAAGGCATTGCCAAGATCACAGAACTAATAAACGACGAAGCTGGAGCTGTTTGACTTCAAAGTTTCATGCATTCATTCATCCATCAATTATTTTTTAGAGCCTACCATGTGGTGCGCACTGGATCCATAGATTCTTGTTTAAAATACTCATATTATCAATTTCCCACTGCTCCTAAGACGCGAGCATGCAAGGCAATTCAATTTAACAAAGACACATCAAGTGCTTCTACGTGCCAGGCACTGTGCGGGGTTCTGCTATAAAGGATCACATTGAACCCTCATGACAATCCTGTGCAGCTGGCCTTTTTATGTCCTTTACAGATGACAAAATGGGTAATGCAGAAAGGCAAGAGAACATGTACAGGCTCACACGCGGAGCCCCAGTGGATGCCTCTGCCCATCTGACCCCAAAACTCACTTCCTTCCCTTCCCAGCATGTTGTTTCTTTCCAAGGTGCTCTCATCTCCCCACCCGGGCCTGGCCTGCAATGATGCAGCCTCTGGAAGTTCTATCAGTGCCCCTGGCAGACAGTGTTCTCCATCCAGGAGAGAAGGGAAGCTGTCAGCCCTATCAGCCTGCGCCATCCACACTGGAGCTTCAGGACTCTGTTTCTCCCTGGCTCCTTCCACTCCCTGCACTTGATCCCAGGATGACAGACCTACACGACCCAGAAACTTGTTTGCTTGGGTCTTGCCTACTTCCAAAACGGATTTGAGGAAGTTTACGGAGCAAAAGTGCAGACCGAGGCTCAGACCACTGGACAAAAGCAAAATCCAGATGCAAAAGAGCAGGGGGTGCTGGAAGCAAACGTTTTGAAGGATACTGCCTGGCGCTCACAGGGTGTGAGGAAATGGGCGCTCTCACATTGCTGCTGGTAGTGAAAACAGACACAGTGCAACTTTTGAAAGGCAACTTCACAGCATGCATCAAGAACTTTGCCTCACAAATATCCACACTTCTGGG